CTAGCTGTTAGAACGCTGGCCTTGTAATCCTGGGGTCTCGGGTTCGAATTTATAACTTGTGTTGGGCAAGGCCGTGGTCTAGGCAACACGGAGTTGTCCTCCGGGGTCTTCCCCGGTTTCTCCGTGGCATCCCAACAATTACTCCATTCACACACAGAAGAAGGCAATGGCAAACCACTTCTGGATCATCTGCCAAGAACGTATATGAACAGGTCCTAGTCCGAGAAAAGGATGCAAGAATCCTGTTCATATGGACCTGTCGTCAGACAGAACACTAAATAAATAGATCAAAACGGCACAAGTTAACCAAGAATGAATATTTAAATCTTTGTGGTAAAATCAATCTTAAATTAAATAGCAGTCCTAATGTAAGTTTACTAGGTATTGTATTTATAAAACAGCCTTACATCTGTGAAATTTGATTGATTCTGCTTGTAGACTAGATGACTCGGTTCCGTTACCGATAATATGCGTTGTATCTTATTTGATTTGTTAGATTCTATATTGCCATTAATTATCTAGCAAGCAGAGCATTCAAACCCACTGTGTAGCAACGTTTCTGGGCGTCCAGGCGCCCATACATAATACTTCACACGCACACACCCCCACACGTTCTCATTTAACCTAACCTAACCTCGAAATGCAACAGAGACGCTCACGCGTCCGTTTATGAATAATTCAAACTGCAAAAAAACCTTGTTCATGTAACCTACTTCATCTAACAAAGGTTATTTTACTTTGTAATGGAAAGAATTTTAATTAATATTATCATGTACACGATAATTACATCAGAGCTTGAAATACACAAATGGACATTGGTAATAAAACCAACATATGTGAAGTATAAATAAAATAAAATACAGAATTAATAATATTTGTAGTTTAATGTGGGCTGCCTGCTGGTAAATGGGACTCCAATATACGTGGGGGGCAGGGCGAGGTCGAGACCTTGCGCTGTAACACCCACGTCCCTATTAAAACGTGGGAAGACTGTAAACGAAAATGATGATAACACTGTTAGTAGTAGTAGTAGTTCCTGTAACTCCTCAGTGGAGCATAGGGCCTCCTTTCGGGGGGTTTCATAGTCTTTGAAGCGTGCATTTAAGAGTAGTGAGTGACTAGCCCACTAACTCTGCACAATTTCTACTCACTCCTGATTTGACTGTCAGAGCCATCTAGCAGTGAATCAGGAGATACTTGGGTGAGAAATGGCCGCTGAATTTTGCTTACGAAACATCTCGTATCATGTTCGCAAGGTTCTTTTACATGCCGCAAATCTACGACATGGGACCGCCGGAAGTTGTGCTACGGATTTTTATCACCCTTAAAAATCCATCGACCTCGGCCGAGATTGAACCCGCGAACCTTGAGTCCAGTGGCGAGCACGCTAACCACTAGTCCGAGGGCGACCCACTGTACCCAATTCACCAAATTATCAGCCTGACATCTAAGTTTTGTTTAGCAGAGGCACACAATGTGAACCAATACAACTTTGTGAAAGATTGTACTCCATAGTAAAGACACCTTTTTACACTAAGTACTTACTCTGAGTTGAGGCTGTCCTGTCAAGTCCTGTTGTGAGCCTTCGGATTACTGGGTTGGGGCACGGTACCGAAGATGTAGTGTCATCCAACTGATTAGGCAAGCAAACATCTTCACAAGATGGTACTGGCAGTCCAGATTTGCGGATATTCTCCCAAAGCGGGCTCCCACTGCGCCATGCCAGTGTCTCCAAAATCTTCTCCTCTATCTTTAACAACCATAAGACACATCAAAGGCTGAAAACCTTCAATCATTATATAATTTCCAACAGTGTTGGATCAAGCCAAGTGCTGGGTCACAGATGAACCGCCAACAAATAACTAAAGCTGCCATTTCAGACATTTGGCAAACCTAAGTGGCAGTAACAGATCCATGAGAGTGCTGGTAGAATGATGACTGGCAGAGGAAAATTGGAATACAGGTAGTTCCTGATTAATGGGATGGTTGTATTCCACAAAAGTTCTGTGCAAGCTATAATTATGTTAATTAGACAAAGATGCCACATACAAATTAATGAAAATAAATGAGTGGTGCATTCAAAGTCCAAATTTTATTAACAAATTTTAAATTTTATTATGACCATGTTTCAGCTAATAACATATTTATGAACATGTTACATATAATGTTTATAAATGAGATTAGACAAATGTATATCATCACTGTAACACTATGTGGATAAAACTTATATTCAGGCCAACTGAAATATTAGCAATACAACTGAAGTTTGCCAGCTAAAGTTGCTATGATAGAAATGGAACTTATAAAAAAATTCAATGACTTAGAAGATTGAAGTATTGTTACAGATCAAATCTTACATGAGACGGATTTCAGAAGACCAGAAGGTATTAAACGGAATATACTCTAGAAAGAAACACAGAGATGAGGCTGAGGTCGAGCTGTGATGTCAGAAAAATATGTTCTGATATTCTGCACTTATAACAAAGAGATTTTGCCACTTCAACTTTCTAAAATATTTTAACACAGTTTAGATTTTAAACTTTTCTCTCAAACAGTTGCGAGTACTACTAGCTTCTGAAGGACTGTTCCATAGAATCTCTTAGTATATTTTATGATCCCTACCTAAATATGTCTTCATTTGTACTGTAATTTTCCCAACAAAGAAGTATTAGGGGACAAGAACAAATGAAACATATTTCATATCATTGTTAATAAATGGGAAGCTGTAGAATGAGAAAATTTTTATACAGTAACCAGTGATGTCTAAAAGGAACTTGAAATGGGCTGAAGAAAGAACTGGATCCTCCTCTATCATTAACAATATGAAATACAACACACATTTTACTAAGCAGTGGCAGTACAATTTTTCACAAAAGTAAATAAAGATCTCAAAGTCTACAACTAGAAATTCAAGAAAGGATTTTTTGAACACCAAAGTCACTAACATGGTCGGCTACAGGCAGGATGTCGAAGTTTCATTCTTGGGAGGAGTTAAGCAGCCAGAGCATGGGTACCACCACTAACGACGAGGTTAAGAATATATCAAACAATAGCTGGCACATGCCTTCATGGAGTGGCAGGGTAACTGAACTCTGTATCATCACAATATGTTCCTAGCACTGGCTCCCATTACAAAGTGTCATGAATTCCTTACCATGTTCAGATGTTTCACCATATCCCGCGACAGCTGATCTTCCACCTTCACTATCACTTCGATCACCTTGTAAAAGTAATACGCCTCCAGGTTCAAAGCTTCCAGCACCCAAGGGAAAATCCGCTGGGAGTTGTACGAATAAATCACAATTTCCAAGCAGCAAGCAAACAAAGACTGATGGAACACCTCCTGTTCCAGGAGATTCTTGAAAAAACAAAATTAAAAATTACCTGTGTTGCATGCATACATTACAGAGTGAAACCTTATTAGTATTTATACTTATATTTTCTTGTCTATGAAAAAATTTAAAAACAGCTCAGAGTTTAAAAATGCACCCAAAAGCACTCCTGAAAAAAATCTAAAATGTGATTCCAGGCTGATAAAGATCAGTGCCGGGTCTGCATGTAACCTAATATTTTCTGAATACTAAGTTTATTTGCATTCACATATAAACATTTTCTAATTTGTGGCTAATTGTTCAAATCTCACCAAAGATATCACAATTTCAGGTAATGGGAAACCTAATCCAATCTATTCAAACCACATCATCCTGTAGAAATAAAATGAATGTATCTGAATTCAATAACTGGTTTTTAACCAGTACACAACAAAGTAGTTTGTATCAGAAACTTTATAACTGTATTACTACTTAACATAATATAACATTAAACACATCATGTTTCAATGATATGTAATCATCAGGTATAGCACTTCTTCTTCTTCTTCTATGGCACTCCGGTCCGTATTCAGTCCACAGCCTCCTCAATTCTCCTCTTCCATTCGGTCCTCTGTTAGGTCTGTCTGTCCGAGGCTTTGATTGAAGTTTTGAAACATCTTCCTTTTTACGGTGCAAGGTTGTTAGCCTTGCGACCAACCCCCAACCTGGAGGACCAGGGTACCTGTCTTAGTCTGACCTCTCCCCCTCGACCAATCTGGCTAGGGAGGCCCTAAGCATAGCTCTTGGGGTCACTGAGGTACTCAAACCTCACCACCACGACAAGGTACTACCAATGATACATTATAATTAGTCAGCCTTAAGTTGCTTAAACATGTCTAAATAGTAATTAAGTATAATAATTGATTAAAACCACTTATATAATGAATGTCATATTCTATTATACAAATTAGGAAACCACATATTAAATTACACTGTTAAAAATTGTGTCAAATTTACACTTTGTAATAGGGGATTTAAACCTCTGTCCTGGTGGCATAAGGAAGAATATCACCATGCCGAGGCACAATTTTTTGCTCAATTTATATGGAGCGCACACAGCCAAAGATGCTGCCTTTTGAAGATGCTGTATTTTACTCAGAATCTTGAACATATGGATGGTAAGGCATGGTCACAAAGACTCTGCAAGGCACTTTGGGAGTAAGGAGTAAACAGTTGATAAATTTGGATTTTACGGCCGAGCCATACATGAAGCTGCTGTAGCATAGACCCGCCACCAGTGAAGTCAAAGTATTGCCCTGATGTTGGTGGCAGCAAGGACCTCTAAAGTCTGTAAACTTCTATCAGACTACTTACTTAGGATACTTAGATGACCCGTTCTTCAATGCCTGAGCATCTACGGGTCCCAACTTTTCGTTTGCTCGATCTATAGACATTCGGTAGGACTCCTTGGACGAGTGATTAGCCCGTCACAAGGCCTCTACCTGTACACAGGACACCACAAGAGAGAGAGAGAGACACAGACAAACATCCATGCCTTGAGTGGGATTCGAACCCACGGTCAGAGTCCAAGCGGCACAAGGCCCACGCCTCAGACCGCGCGGCCACTGTTACAGCTACCAGACTACACAGCACAACAATCCAGAAGACAGCCATCTTCAGACTGCTGTAAAAATCCTGCAGAACTATACCTCCAGGAAAACGGATTGAGAGGATCGCAGGTGGTTGGGCCTTCGAGACTGTCAAATAACAGACTTGGCATGATATTACCAATGCTGAACTTAAGGTTCTCATACCATAGAGTTTTTTATGAGTACTAACTACTCAGCTCTGCAAATATACTTTTCTCCAATTCTTCATCACTTCAACTCTCTTAGATCCAGACACTGCCCTCAGCACTATATTCTTTAATACTAGGAATTTATGTTCTGTCCACATAAGAAACCGAAATGTTACATCAACAGAAAACACAACCTGAAATTCTAGCTTTATAATTTTTCCTGTTTAGGGTTTTAGTGATATGGGATATGTAAAACTATATAACACAAATCGAGCAAAACAAATAAAGTTTGTTAAAATAAATACCGTGAGATCTAAGTCAGGCTTCTTTTTCCGCTCCTCAACTAGGATGTTCTCTAACAGCTTGTAGTACAGGCTCTCTCCAAGCTGAAGCCGTTTGCGTGCAAAGTCCATGTGCTTACCGGGGTGATCATCAGTGTGCTGAGTGTAGCGAGTACAAAATAGATGCCCCATTTCCCTCACCCACTCCTCAATCTTTTCCTTTGGATCACAACTACACGACCTGCCCAAAAACATAAATTCACACATATCACATGTGGAGGATACTTTCTCAAATGCAGTTTGGCGCTTCATGAATACGGCTAGGCTATGTTCCTAAAGTTGTAGGCAGTACTGTTGACACTTTATATAATGAAATTGCATCTTATTTCACATCAGACATGTGAGAAACGTGTAAAGCTGCTACTTCAATATTAATAATACTAATAGCCCCTTCCGAGTGGTAATATGCAGCCAGTTTCATATTTGCATCCGTTAACAGTTCTGTGATGTGCGATATCATAAATATAAATTTTTTCGCTCATTTACGAGAACTATAAAAATTTGTTGTACGGTTTAACCTAAAACAAAACAATGAATTTACTACCAAGAGCAATGTGCATGCAACTAATGGTTTTATAGTAATGGCAAGCCTGATAAAAATTTCACAGTGGTTATTTCTATGCAACAAACTGTTACCAAGAAATGAGCATACCTTCAAAGTCATTTCACAGAACACAGGCAACTCTCGGTTTACGAACGAGTTCCGTTCCAAGACGTTCGTTATACGTTTCTGTTCGTTATGTGTATCTTACATTCCTGAGCTTTTATGATACGTATTGTATACGTTAGCATCCATTTTAAAGCACAACTACACTTAACTGTCTAAGATAACCTAGGCAAAGCAAGTGATGATCCTATTATATTATAATACGGGGAATCACCGATTTCTTTCCCATGAGAAAACATTCCACGTGGCGTGGCACGTAAACCAAAGTTTTTTTTTTTCGTTAGAGCAAATGTTCGTAAACTGAGAGTTACCTGTGCTCTCAAAATACATATGCTAGCTATGAAGTAACCACAACTTTTGCAAACAAAGTTGTACAGAATTTGGTAATATTGTGTGCAACTGATATTTCCAAAATCTGTTGAACTGAGGTGGAACAATAGCAATGAAACGTACCAAGCACGCTGTATCGTTAAAACACATACCTAAACAATTCAAGAAGGGTTTCACTAGGACCAGCTTGCCGCCCTGCGAGCAGGGTCTGCAATCGACTCACACTCTGTGTGGCTGTAGAAACCGGCGTAACATTATGCTGCACGTCCTTGCTCTTCAGATACTTGCGTCCTGTCAGTGGTGTTGACGGAGCCAACTGCTGCATCTGCAAACACAAATTCACTGTTATGAATATGTTGTAACTACAGCTTCATGTGGTACCAGTACCTGATTTTCTACACACATTCATGGAAGTCACCTTCCATCCAACAGAATACTACTGTAGCCTAGTTCATCCACATAAATATTTTAATTTTATTTCAAGACAGTGATAAAGCACTTCTCAAAATTTTACATGTTAGTAACATTAATTCAAACATGGTTCTGAAGAGAAATAATGGATACCTTTTTTAAGTATCTATTTTATCAAATGGATTAGGCTGTTAATATAAATGTTGCTAGTTTATCGCCAAATACTAATAACCAAATCTGTAGAAAAACATACATGCTGTACCTCAACGATACACAAAATTTTAACCAACATTCTTCTGTAAATGTTACTGACATATGCAAACAAAGCTACTGGGGATCATCAGTGAGGATTTTTATGTAATTAGTCAACTACTGATCTACTTCATCTGATACTGGAGAAAAAATTAGAGTTCAACGGGACTGCACGTCAATATTTATAGACTTCAAGACAGACTACGAATCTGTTACGGGAGAACTATTATAAAACATTCTCACTGAATTCAGTATACCAATGAAATTAGTCACATTAATTAAAATCAAGATGGCTGTCTTTTGGGTTGTTGCGCCATGTAGTCTGGTAGAAGTTTACTAACATTCCAGAGGTCCTTGCTGCCTCCATCAGAGTGCTATGATGATGGACGTATTACACTTTTAAATGTATTAATACATGGCGCATATAAACTTAATGCCCATGAAATGAGTTAGTTCACATCAAAATTTTGTAAATAATGACCACTAAAACATACTTACACTTACACTGTACTTTTGGTTTCCTGCTCTTTTCGCCTGAATCTTCTCTGTGAATTCTCCCATTCCACACATCTTTGTTGGGGTGCCAATATCTGTATTTGCATCATCACCTGCATTACACAAATAACCACAAAAATAAGAAAACACAACAAAACCAAAATATCAGTACAATTGCTAAAATATAATTTTCAAAGACATTTTCAGAATGCTATTATTATATTTTATATACCTCAATGGCCTTGATGCCCTTTTACTGTAGATACAAATCTACAGCTACAAAGCTAAGTGCACTGGAAATACAACAAAGTCACAAATTATTTTGTCTTGTATTCAATTAAATATTAGACGTACAAGGAATAGTCTCGAGATCTATACTGCAAAAATTTTGTATAAAATAAGCCTTTCCTTTTTTAAAAGAGAAAACAAAGTTTGATGTGTGACTCAAGTAAAGTAGGAACCAAAACTGAATTCTCCCAAAAAGCTTTCAATATAGACCCACAACTCCAAATGTAATTGGCACCCATAAAATACTTTCAGAAAAGAAACGTGAGGATAAATGCACACTTCTCCAATATATATTCATTCCATGTACTCTGCACCAAAACTGCACAAAATCATAAGCCAATCAATCGATTAACACAGCTGTTTCTAATCCACTGTTAAAAAAAATCTTCCTTGGCAAAAAGTACCAAACAAAACTTTAACAGCTGGAAACAAAGAAGTTAAATTGAGTGTCAATGAGGTTGAATGGGCTAAACATGGACTAAAATTAAAAAGATTACTTCAATAAACAGCATGACATAACAAACATGGATTTTGCAATACAAGTAAACAGTAAGGTTGGTGACGGACAGGTAACATATTTTACCGACTTGCCTTCGTTGGACTATAAGAGATTAATTTCCATCTTAAGAAACTGCTGTGACAATGAATATGTCACTAACTGGAACATTTTATGTCCACTACGGGAAACTTTTGTGCCAAAAATCACCTGATTAAACACAACAAATCTCTTACCTAAAAATATTCTCTCATCAAAATCTCCCTCACTCAGAACATACTCTTCATACGCTCTGCTGACAGCTTTGTAATTGTAGTCGAAGCGGCCCTGTTCCAAGATTCCACTCAAGCTGGAAGCATCACCTTTCAAAACCTATAATTAAAATGGAACAATATACTAAAATCCAGAAACATGATTATACCATTCAACAGGCATGCACACATATATGCATAAATGGAATTGACACAAACGCAGCATGCACATACACTGCAAATTCTCCAGCCTGGTTTTAGCCAGCCCAAAAGTGAGACTGTTTAATCAATAATTTTTTTTATGAACAGGAACAAGTAACTAGCCACTAATACCAGCTGAAAACATGATGGCAGGAAGGCAATGGATGAATGTGACTACAGCAAAACTTTGTAAAATTCTTGCCCATTTCAAATTGTGTAAACGGACCATATTAATAAGAAATAATTAAATAAGAACCCACAACTTCCAACATGGTGTTCCACAACCTTTTCTCACCCATGGCATGCCCTGATTTGTCAAAGACATAATGGCACACCATAAAATGTCACTTCATGAAAAGAGCGTACAAAACTAAACATTACCATAAATATGTATCTAAACACAAATGTTTTCCCTATGAGAAAGAATACAAAACATCACGTACATTGGATAAAACTATTAATGATAAAAGATAAGAACAAACTTTTCTGAAATATGTGTAAATATCCAATTTCTTACAAAAATTAACAACATACCAAAAAACTTACGGTGGCACACTGGTCGCAGAACTCTGCTCTAAGGTACAGTGCATTACTAAATTCTATAAATCAAACATTAAGCTTTAAATACAAATACACTTACACCTGTGTCTAACAGTTTCTTTATGTGAATCTTCCATGAATACTCCTTAATGCCTTTTGCTTCTACAGGGATCCCATCATGCTTCTTGCACAGGTGGTCTATAATACATGGTGCCTGAGAAGGTGTAGTATATTCTTGGTCGAAGAAGTTTGATGGAAGTCCTAAAAAGATTAAGAGAAAGGAAATGTAAATTACACACCACAGATAACACATGACACTAAAGGGGGAGAATGTTATAAGATGCAAATAACTGCAGGCCAGTAATACTCCTACTGTAGTTTCCGGCTGCTTAAAAGTTTGAACAACATAAAGAGACTTCTGGACATATAGTTTATTTAATTTTAGCTTAATCCCAATGTAAACATCAACACATTAAGATCGATGTCTTCTGGGTTGTTGCGCTGTGTACTGTGGTAGATGTTTACCAACGTTTCAAAGGTCATACTGCCTCCGTCATCAGAGTATGAAGATTTCTGTCTTCTGGGTTTTTGCGCTATGTAGTCTGGTAGATGTTAACCAACGTTTCAGAGGTCATACTGCCTCCGTCATCAGGGCGATGAATGAGCCAATCGAGCGGAAAATGCTAGGTTTATAGGGACCAGACAGTGAATGGAGTATCCGAATTGTAGCCAATGGGAGCTGGTGTCAGATGAGGCGTGGGTGGGGACCAATAGGAGAGTGTGGGCATGTCATGGTATGTGTGAGAGATATGGCGAGAAAGGAGAGAGAGGGATCGAAGAAACAGCCCTAGTGAGGGCCTCAGGGAGGTAGTATGACCTCTGAAATGTTGGTGGACATCTACAACACTACACGACATAACAACCCAGAAGACAGCAATCTTAATGTGTTGATGTTTACATTGAGATTAAGCTAATCCTGAAAGTGTAATTTACATCATCTTGTAATTGTTAGAAAGGCTATGAGGGTTTAAAAACTGCACAAGTAGCCTACAGAAGGCCAGTAAAATAATCCACGTGCCTTTAGTTCGAATGTTAGACTCCTACACCGTACATTTTAAGTGAAACTGTGTTTTGTTCAGTTACAATGGGGTCACAGGATTAAAAAATTGTAAAAATGAGTATGTCGTTGTATAACATATAAGAACCACTGTTTTAGGATAAGGGACAAAATGTCACACCAAAAAATTACTTTAAATTGGGACAAAATGTCACACCAAAAAATTACAATAAATGAAATTACTTTACAATATTTGCATGCTCAGTGCGGACAAAAGTACTTCCAATCTGGACATTCCAACCTTCATAATAACACGTATGTATTTTGCTTACAGTAACATGTTTCACGTGTAGTTCTCAATGTTGACATTTTATATAAAGAAACTTTGAGATACTTCATAAAATTAAGATTAGGTACAATATGTCATACCAGGAAATTTTGGGTTAAGAATTTCCCGTCGATCAGCAAGGATGGCATTGGCAAACATCAGGTCACAGCAGGCTAGTAGCAGATGATATGAGTTGACTAGATCATCACTAACACCAGGGAACTTGCCCTTGACGCACACAAACAATGTCCAGCAGAAGTCAAATACTTTGGCTGAAGTACAAGGCATGCTTCTGTCAACAGAAATGTACAAATTTTTATTAGGGTCATAAAAGATGTACAGCACAAGAAAAGTGTGCTTTATGGGAACGTTCTGTCAAATCTTTTAGATAAAAATAGTATGCTGCCATATATCAGAAGCTCTATGACCTGTTTCACATCAAACTAGTCAGATGTGGCATCCTTCATAATAATGTCATCACCACCCTTGACGTTAACACAGTGACCAGCAGCCACATAATTAAGCCCAGAGCTTTTGAATACTAGGCCAGAATGTTAACCCCAGCTCGGAACTTCCTTGGCCACTGTCAAAAAAGAAATAATGATTACTCTCTGCCTTGGGAAAGGACCAAAGCACTGGGCCCCCCCTTTAATACTGCCAACTTTGGGTCTGCATGCAGAAAAGACAGGGTGGGAAATTACCAATTTCATAGTATTTACATCCATTAGATTTCACAGCATTTGAATTAGTAAATACAGAAATACCGATTCCAATTTATCAACATATTGAAAAAGAAACCGAGGATAATCTTGTCTCAAGGTTTTTGCAGCTGGAGTCCAATGTAAACTTAGCTCTTTGGGGGATAAGCTGAGGAGGATGTTTGTTATCCAACATTTCATCTGCCATCTTCAGGGTGAATGTTCACCCCCATGTGGCTCATCTCCAAAAGCTTTACAAGAATTATTCTGCTGAAAAACAGGGGCATAAAGGCAGGCTTGTATCTCTCATAGCAGACACATCATCTGACACTTTAACCATTATTAAATCATCATAAATGATAAATATATCAGTAGTGGATACTAACCGCTGCTTCCTGGACCGTGGTTGGCGTGGCTGGTCTTCAGTAGAATTGTAAAACATATCAACAAAAATTGGCTGATACTTCTTGAATATGACCATGGAAACAGCGAAGTTGCGCTCTAGCCTGTCGATTTTGCTGCGGAACTCTGATGGCATGCTAGCCATGTCTGCCCACTTCTTGCTCTTGCTGAAGAATTGGATCAAGCTACAACAAAGTTCTTACTATTATAAACAGTCTAACAGCGTGCATTAACTGGACAGTAACACCTTACCTTGAGATATATCTAATAATCACCCGGCTACTTGGAAATTTTAACATGAAGGTACACAAGAACAGTTCCCTAGTGTACCCTATCCTGAGGCAGATGAATTCAGTCAACATTCTCACACTCTATTTCTCATCCATCTAAGCCAAGGTCTCTCACATGCTCTCTTCCCTAAGGATTTTAAAATTTGCATTTTCTCTCATGTGATAAATATCCTGCCCATGTTGCACTCTAGGACTTGATCATACTAATATCTCACGAAGAACATAAATTATACTCATCTATGTTGTTCTTCAGGACTGTAATGCTGTGTGGACTTGTAGGTAAAGTAAAGAAAGCTAACCCACTATATGCCATGTAGGCGCTTGGGGGAGAGGAGGTATAGCTCTTACTGATTCTCGACTTCGGCACTAGATGGGGCGAGTAGTCGGCATCACGCCCTGGGCGTGCTTTACCTCCAGGAAAGGATCCCAGTACCCATTGGACAGGAGGCTGGGTGGGCCCCAGAACCAGTCTGGATGCAGAGGCCAGAGGAAAAATCCTCTATCCCTGTCAGGAATCAAACCCCTGTTGTCCAGTCTGTAGCCAGTCACTATACTGACCGAGCTATCCCGGCTCATCGTGGACTTGTAGGTAGATACTAAAATTTCAAAGGAAAGTACAACCTCCACCTTCTGTCCTGAAGTTAACACAGCATCACAACCTAAGAATAACTCTTCACCACTTGGGTGTAGGATCAAATATCACATCACAGAAAACTACAGATTAAATTACAATTCTGTGTGTTTTAACCCTATAATAATCAATTACTGTATTCTAAAGTCATCCAAGTAGGTATGCCCTCTTGGCTGAATTCTTGACAGGTTCTCACTACTGTTACCTTAATTTGCAAAGCCTGAGGAGTCGTGTAAGGCTGACACAGTTTCCTTCTACCATGGCTCCAGACCTCCCCACAGTGGGCGTGGATGATTTGCGACATGCCACATACAATGCACAGCCTAGCCAGTGAAGCTGGTCTCCCTGAAATGGAAGTCAAGAATCAAGGTGTACTCAACACTCAAATTAACTACATACAATAAACTCCCATTTATCAATTTGCAGATTATCCACCTTATGGTCATGTGTTGTGGAAATGCATCCAAAAATCACAAACACACTTACATCAAACAGAAAAGTATATAAAACACTATTGTTCATTCACAGGGTTTGAAGCAAACTATATTCCTGTCAATTATTACAACCAGCAAGAAGAATGGATGGACAGGGAGATTTTTTAAATTTTTTTCCAGAACTTGAGGCTTTTCTGAAATGATACCATAGGAAACAGTGTTGTTAGACAATGCCCTTCTCATTCAAGATACAACATACTGACTTCGGACAGTGACCTCGACTTCGGACAGTGACCTCGACTTCGGACAGTGACCTCATCATTGTAAAGTTTCTGCCCCTCAATGTCACAGCCATAACATAGCCCACAAACCAAGTAGTAATTACATTCAAGAAACAACACATGGTCTTCTGCGAATCTGGGAATGCTAGTTTGATAATTAAGTTTAACTTCTTCCAAAACAAGACAATAATCTATAAGGGTCACCTATGAAAAAATCAGGAAGCCTGATATTCCTGGCATGGTATGTGCTATGTGAAGCTTTGAAAATATCAACAAAGATTACACTGAAGAATGGCTACAAAGTGACAAGTGAGCTACGCTTCCAGCATGATAGACACTAACACTGCTAATGTTGCAGGGAGGGGAGGGGGAAGAAAAGGTTAGGGAGGATAGCGCATTAGTCATAGCTCGTCACTACAGAATGATGACACCACTAGACTTCTAAGGTCAAGAAATATACTGTGTATTGTGAGATTCAAGTTGATAAGGGATGCAAATGGCCACTTATAGATAACTTTATCAATTTTTAAAGCAGGTGGGGCACCTAAAACAATAAGACAGGAACCTCTCAACACATAACAGGAATAAAATGTTCTATATTGATAGTAAGGTTTAAAACAATGACATTAATGACTACTATACAAAGAAGAACAGGTTTCTTTAATCTAATTAACAAAGAAAAAATGTAGGCTTATGAACACTCAGTGATAACTGAGGAGAAAACTGTAGCAATCACCAATATATATAAAGTGAAGCTTTCGCGGCGATCGAAGTTGATGAAAGACTCTCGGGAAACAAGTCAACTGACGCGGCTTGTTTCCCAAGAGTCTGTCAAAAAACCCTGAGGATGAGAGCAGAGATGGCTCTCGAAACGTTGGCGGAAGAAATGGTTCATTCACCATTCAGCCACCTGATGCAGTTTGTTACTCGGGTACTTGTGGGTTATCGGGAGAAAAAGGATTTGGTTGAAGATAATTATTTGTGGTTCTGTAAAAAGTTGTTTGGTTTTGCCCTTTTGTGAGATTCGAAATGAGCATTTCTTTGTTCATGACCGAGTTATGATAACTTGGAATCAGGATGTTATAATTTGTGTCTTGACTTGTTCTGATCAAATAGTACTATAACTATTCTTAGGCTGTGGAAGACATGTGTAACTTGATGATTGCTGATAAAAGATTGTCAGGTAACAGTACTTGTGGGTTATTGGGACACATCGCTTCAAAAATAGGTTAGGTTAGTTGTCATTTATTAAAATAAAATATAATAACTTTCAAGTATATGTCATTTATCCACACACTTTAACCTAACCTAACCTAACCTAACCTATTTTTAAAGTGATGTGTCCCGATAAGCCCCAAGTACTGTTACCTGACATTCTTTCATCAGCAATCATCAAGTTACACATGTCTTCCACAGCCTAAGAATAGTTATAGTACTATTTGATCAGAACAAGTCAAGACACAAATTATAACATCCTGATTCCAAGTTATCATAACTCGGTCATGAACAAAGAAATGCTCGTTTTGAATCTCACAAAAGGGCAAAACCAAACAACTTTTTACAGAACCACAAATAATTATCTTCAACCAAATCCTTTTTCTACAACACATAAAACAAAATTTCCATCCTTCAATATGCATGATAGAACACAACATTTCTATTCTAGGCAAAATACACACTTTGGTTCATTGAACTGACTGCTCAATCCACTATGAAATCACAAACATTAAACATTCATCTAATTACAGACTTCCCTCAATATGCTGAACAAAATATTCATTTCTTTAAATGTACACAATGGGAAAATTGTTCTCCTTGGTTAAATAGAAAATATATTGATTACAACACATACAAAATGGGGTGCTGTAAAACAAAGTTCCTTAAGGTTCAGAAGTTGGTCCTCTTATATATCAATGCTCTACCAGCAAACCATAATTCTTGATCCATGCCTACATTCTTAGCTGATGATACTATTATTATTTATCATTTTGATAGGAATGACTTTCAAATTTCTATTAATGAGGTCTTTGCTAGACAGAATAAATGGTTTAAAGTAAAAAAAAAAAAAAAAAAAAAAAAAAAAAAATGAGCCAAATTTTGACAAAAGAAGAACAAAGCTTGTATTAACACAAATAAAGGTTACAATAATAAACCTGAAGAAGGAATAACTAAATTCCTTGGCTTATAAATTGAAAATAACTCAAATAAAAAAAGCACACTGACCCCAACTACGTTCAGCATGCTTTATCATGAGGACAGTCATGCCACTCACTCACTCTATGGTGCAGGATATTCTTTGAGAAGTCAACTGTATACTTGGATTGTCAAAGAATAGCCCACTTTCTTTAATGAACTCGAAGGTTCATCACCATGTTTACAATAGCCTGCCACCAGACTCTATCCTGAGCTAGGTGCATCCAATTTGCTCAGTCATATTACTCTTCAAAATAGAAATTTGTTTATATCCATTCCATCACATAATTTGGGGTTATCTGCTGGAGAAATTCAACAGAGAGCAAAAGAGTACTTAACCATTGTTGATGTTCACTGCAGAAAACATTGTTATTCTGGCAAACATATACACTTGGCTTTAATTATTAAAGTTCTGCACAGAAAGTGAATAAATTCTACACTGTTCTACAGTGGGACAGTTTTACTGTCATATGATTTAACGCTTTAGCGGCGACGTAACTGAATAAAATCTTCTCGGGCGAAAGCCGCGTCAACTGGTTAAAAGAAGAAACCGACGTTTCAGGAACCATCTCTGTCCCCACCATCAGGGTTCTAATGTGACTGGATATTGCGGTCATTTCCTGGTGATGGGGACAGTGATGGTCCTGAACGTCGGTTTCTTATTTTAACCAGTTAACGAGGCTGGTCGCCCAAGATTTTATTGAGCTTTACTCTTCTATTCTACTGGATCGCCTGCTACTGACATTCCTCAATTACAATAGTTCTTTCAGTGCTACTGCAATTAAAGTTCATAAGAAAACTGAGAATACGAAACAAACAATTAAACATGTACTATACCACAAAATAATAAAATTTCGTACTATGTGCAATTCGTAAATTACTTCCACTTACCTCCAACGTATAATTTTGTCGTATTGTTTCATAACTGTGCCAAGCCTCATCAGCTGCGTCTTTATCCATATTTAAATTCACACACAATTCTTGATGTCGTTTAAATACATTTTCGTCTGCATCATCTAGTAACCCCATTTTTCACGACGTTAAACCTTAACAAAACCTAAATTGCACACCCACTCCTCACGACACAACCATACAAGACCAACAAACAGGCCACAAGTGGCGGGAAACCTAGCCTTATCATTACGTCGTAGAAAATAAAATTTTATTGAAAATATTCGTCTAAAGGAAAAACACTTCTAATATTTATAAAAAATTGGCATCCTGAGTTTTATTTGTAATTCTTGTCCTGTTAACGCATATTTCACCAAACGCAAATTAATATAATTAATACGGTACCACCATTCCAGACAAAAACGCGCCAAACAGAAATGTATTCCGAAATATTTTATTTCCCATAAGGAAATGCCAGAACGAATTGTTTCTTTTAGAGTAATTTAAGATTTTCCACAACATATATTTCAGTAATACATTATTTGGTTTACATTAAAAAATAAGTTTAACTGTATAAATTACCGGCCAAATTAAAATTGAACTTCTTTCCGTGAGAAACATATTCCATTCTGTCAAATGCATTATGTTATTAATGTGGAACTTATTACGTACTCCTGTATATTTTCGGTTGTATAAAAAGTGTAAACATTTCCATTCACGTTTTTGTTGATATTATACATTGTGAATGTAATAACTTGGAAACGAAATATTGGATGATAGGTTGGCAACATTAAATGAGAGAAATTCATACTTTCATGTTGCCTATCATGAAATAGGCAATGGATGTGCTTTAAAGTGTCGAAGTAATTTAAAGGCAGTAAGATAGTGAGATGTAACTAAATGTTTATAGCTGGAATCGCTTCGTAAAGTACAAGTTCTAGAATGGCTTTTCCCAAGAATTTTGCCAATATCATAAAGACTTGGTTAGAAATTAGAAGCAGTATTAATTTCTTGCATTCACGGAATATCAGTTGTTTTCACACACCTTACAGTAAATATTTGGCAAGAGAAGCTCGAGTTATGAGAAAAATGCTGGGAGAAAAAACAGAAAAGTATGTATTTTATTGTTTTAATTTATAATCTGTAAATATTTGGTGACCGAAGGAAGCTGTGCTACGGTTTTCAATCACCCTTCAAAATCCATCGACCTCGGGTGGGTTTGAAGTCGCGAACCATGGGTTCAGTAGTGAGCACGCAAACCACTAGTCTACCAAGGTCGTCTTCAGTAGTATTGTAAATTAATGGAAGTTTCACCTTGAATATGAATGCAGTTACATTCCTCCAAAACATTTGTAATCACCTACATTACTTTTCAGAAACAGTTGAGAAAACCACAGTCCACCTTTCACTGCCATGAAAAGTTTATATTTTATATTTACTGGCTTGATTTACAGTTTTGTTTTTCTTACTAAAGGAAACTGTGGTACAAGTCTGATGGAAGCACCAGTCTTCCAATACCAAGAATGAATGTTGCAAAGTGTGGTCAGAATCATCGAAGAATTGCAGTTCTTAACAAGCTTTTCATGAGACATATCACGGATATGATGGCATCGGGCGAAGTTGGAAATGAAATACTTGGCAGGGGTATTGAAATATCCAGAGTATGAACCATAATATTTTATACAAGTTATTAATATATTTATAATCAATTTGTAACATGTTCTAATTTTCACTTGCCTGTATTTATTACCAGGTAAAAGTGGCTCCTGATTTCAACAAAGTAAATGTATTCTGGTTAGCCAGAGGTACAGAAAATGATGTGGAGGTGGAGAGTATTTTGAAAAGATCTGCAGGGCATCTGCGCCATCAGCTGTCAGAACTTCGTGTGATGGGTGTTGTACCATATATAGAATTTGTCAAAGGTATATAATTTCTCATAATTCGCAAGGGGACCCGGTCGATTGTTACCCTCTGATTCAGCTATGGTTTCGATGTTAAGACAGTGGACACTCCTCTGACTTCCTGGCCAAAACTTTTTTAAATACACAGTTTTATTTTCCACTTACTTTACTGTTACTCCAGTAAATTTGATAAAACCAGTCACCCTCAATTTGTGTTCATTGTCTCAGTTGACAGTACTTTTGTGTATGGTGCATGAACATGAACATAGGAAGAAAATGATAAATCAGTGCAAAGGCTTAAAAAATAAAAGATTTTATGGCCTCAAAAACCATTACAGACATGTTTATAAAAAAACTATGATTCAAACCCATGTTCACATTCAAGACTTAGAGGAGCATAGTTGGTCTTAATGTGATATGACAAAAATTAAATTATTACTATCTGTGCACCTAGTAACCATCCCTAGTATGGAGATAGTGTTGAAATTGATACGGTGTGCTGTATCAATCCAGTGTTCAGCCACTAATGTCATAAGTCAAAGGAAAAAGATGGAAGAAATGGGAAACAAAATATTTCAAGGTCTTTGGTCCAAGTGGTGCAATACAAATCCAACAGATTGCAGTGCAACAATGGTTTGTTTTGGAGCCTTTGATCGGCGATAACATACTCAGGATACCATTGATAAAGCAGGCTTCTAGCTGTGAATATGTGCCCATGCTATTGGCTTGAAGGTTATTAATCTCTTTGAAGGAAGAACCAGTCTTTTCTGTTATTAAGTCTGTGTTTTTAAACCATTACATAAAAGGGCGGATTTATAACTTGTGTTGGGCAAGGCCGTGGTCTAGGCAATACGGAGTTTTCCTCCGTGGCATCCCCACAATTACTCCATTCACACACAGAAGAAGGCAATGGCAACCCACTTCTGGATCATCTGCCAAGAACGTATATGAACAGGTCCCAGTCCGAGAAAAGGATGGAAGGATCCTGTTCATATGGACCTGTCGTCAGACAGAACACTAAATAATAATAAATAAATCCAAGTTATTCTGATGAGCCATTTGGCAATCACATAGCATCATTCGCCATAACCATTGACAATCAGCCTGCCCTAAGTACCCCCTTTTTTTCCCCCTGGGATTATCTGTACTAGGGGTATTGAGAGTGGACCTGGAGACCTTGCTTAGAGGTTTGATTTTAACCTCTCAGAAAACATAAATCCTTCTCAGGTAGTAGTTTGTTGTGGGCTGTTTATACCCCTTGGGATCTGAAGTAGTTATATTTTAATTTTTTGTGTGGTTGATATTTCCCTCTGAATTAGTTGGCTGATATTGATATGCCATGCCTCCATTGAGGTCTGTTAAAATGGGATTGGGTGCAGAGTCAAGTATATCCCAATGGAAATAATTTGATTATTTTTTGTAACTGTGATAGACTTTTCTGGACATGACTGTAATATTTTCAGTTAGATTTCAATAATATATTTGTTATATTTTATCTTCACTAAGTTGGGCTATCTGTGTGCTTATCCTTCCACCTCCCTTGCCAGGCAATCTTATGCCAAATCAAATTATTGACCTGAACCTCCCCCTTGGAGGTTTTTAGGCAGGGGTGGTTCATGGATGTTGCCAATGCAGCATAACCACAAATATAATGAGTAAACCTGTATTTGTTACAGACACACAATATGCAAAGGTTGTGGAGGTAGAGAGAATTCTTGCAACGGCTGACTTTGGAGAAGATTATGTACCTGTGGGCGCAGGCTGTCAGCTCAAGTCTGAGTTCACAATGCACACTCACTTGCCACCTAACATAAAGGTGTGATGACTAATTTGCATTGCATGACATTTTTGCTAATCAGTAGATTACCGTCAAACAAACCTTATGTCTGTGAATCTTAATATGAAACCAGCGGTCTTATCTTATTTGTTATTGCATAAATCATATTTATATTTATTAGGGAGGTGGCCCAAATTAGATTAGATTTCTATTGCAGTATATTGAATAGCAGTTCTGTTCCATATTAATAAGTCCTAGGATTGAATCCTAGCTTGGTGACTGGCTAACCTGACTCAAGTTTTTCATAGTTTTGCTTAGTCCCATGAGACAAATGACAGGATGCCATACAGTATGCTATAGTCGGCACAGTAGTTTTTGGCCGGTGGAGGAGCTGGAGGACGGGCCTAGTCTGTGTACCTGAGGTGGCACGGCCAGTGCATTTCTTTTGTTTGGGCGTTCAGTCTGATAAGCACCTCGGCGCAGTCAGCATTTTACCATCACACAAGTGACTCGTTCCTAGCCTTCCCCTTGAAAATTCCACCGGCCAAAAACTACTGCGCTGACTATACATATGCCTCCTTTAACACCCTTTCCAATTCACTATTCATAATCCTTCCATCTGATTTCATAATTCATACAATTGTCATAGCATCATTAAATAAACAAGGGGCCAAATTCAAAAATGGAATGTCAGCCTATTACCCCCTGTGAATTTATGGAAACGTATTTAGTGTACTGAGCTGCTTACAACTGAAAGTACATTTGATGTGGTAGTGCACCCCGCTTGCTCATATGTTTGGTGTTTTAGTCTCATATTGAGAAAGTGGAGGATGAGATTCCTGAACCATCACTTCCACCCATGAGGATGGATGTTTTGGGTCTACGACATGAAGAAATAATGAACAAGGTACATAGCAATGCATACACTGTATCTTAGATATGGACATGATAAGTTATTTTCAAGGTATATGATGACACGTGAATTTCAAGTATTATTTAGGATAATGTGTGGCTTGCTATATGGGTTTACTGAAAATAAGTCGAGACACCTTTCAGTAAAATGACTGACTATGGGCAGGATGGCTAAAGTTTGGTTCCTGGTAGGCTGGCTCTAGGGCCCACCTAGCCTCCTGTCCAAAGGTTACCGAGAGCACCTCCCCCATCATAAAGCAACCAGAGCATGAAATTGGCCACTTAATTCTGTCTATATAGCCATTACCAAATTTTGTGTTTCAAGACCATGGAAGGACTTCATCGCTCTAAACACATGGTTGTAAGTATGATGCTGCTTGTATGGCCAGCACAAGGTTATTTGGCATTGTAGGCAAAATTTTAACCTTGCACCCGTAGATTGAAGTGACTCAGAGATGGGATTTTATAAGAACAGGCAATTTATTCACCATCAATTACATGATTTTTAATTATGTGTATGGATGATAATTTTGCTTCTTCCTACAGATAAGGAACTCGGTGAAAAAGTCCCATGCACTCCACAGACATGATGTCAGAATTCCATTACAAAACTTCACAAACAGTGAATCAGTACAGCAGAATCTTGAAGATGCTAATCATGACATTTTTAATTTGAAGAAGGAAGATTTTACCAAGTTCTTGAAGAAGAGGCACTTCTTGCATAAGAAAGCCCTTTGCAGCAAAAAGAATTACAGACCAGAGTTGGAACTGCATGAGAATGAAGTTTTGGAAGGTGGCACAGTAGTGTCAGATTTTTTGGACAGTGTTAGAGAAGAAAAGGATTATGTAGATGACAGTGAAGATGTAAAACTTTAGAATGATTAATAGAGAACTGAACATTTTCCAGTTATAAAGACTGAACCATACATGCATTATACCTTGTATCAAAAGTGACAGGTATGGTGGCAGTTTTAATTTTGTGATCTTTATTATTTGATGTAAGTAGGTACAAATAGTTTGTCTTAAAATATAAATATTTACAATCTATACAACAAAAATGAAGTGCTTGAAATTTTGTAAGGTTCATACTGTTAACATAACCACTGTCTGTGCAGAAGGGAATGTTGTGTTGAAAGATTTACAGTTTGTCCACTTAAATGTTTATGCACCACCAAAGAAGTCTCGGTAATAAATATGTAACATATAATAAATGCAGGTGCCCAGTATAGGCTGCACTACATCAAACTATTACTATACTTTGATTCTGGTGTCCTCTACTTCACTGAATTAAATGTACTTCATGAATTTTACTGAATCCAATGGCAGACGTGGAAGTGGCCAAAGAAACATTTTTTCCCTCACCTGTTAGACATTAATATTGTGAACAGATTCCTACTAACATCATGTGGTGCCTGAACACATAAGAACTTCCAACATGCCCTCGTGTGAAACGTAATTAAAAAATGCTGCGAGTTTACCCTGTCACTGACAGACCACCTGCCACAGAGAAAAAATTTACCAAGTTCAAGGTAAATTTTAGCAATCATTGGCTAATTTATTCATCCAGAGCAAATTGTCACACCTGTTTTGCATCAGGTATACAAAAGAGAGTACAAGTAAAATGCAGGTAGTATGATGTGGGGTTGAAGTGCACAAAGCCATAAGTAAAAAAGTATTAGAATTTAAAAACCCAACATATTGGTTTCTCAGAAGTTAACTTTAACATTTGTTGCTGATATCTGCAAAACAAAATTTATTAAGAATGTTTTTCCTAAAAATAAACAGTGCAATATCCTAGACAAAGCTGCTTAAAATCACCTCTTATAATACCCTTGATCCAGTTTATAGATGACACTCTGTATATCATAGAAACAGGATTGTTACTGATAATTTGAACTTTCAGCACGGAATACTTCCTGCACCACTTCCACCACGCTCTGGTGCCTCTTGGGATTGATTGAGAAATGCAACATTTGACGCTTTGATGCGAGCGGCAGTTGTTGCAGCCATTGATGGGCATGGTGAGATACATGGGGTTGAACAATGACTGTTACTGAGGTCACACTGGTCGAGGAGCTTCAGAAGTTCTTCTGCTGTAGGCCCTCCAGAAATCTGTGTGGCTTCCAAAAACAACAGTTTATTATGTAAAACATATCACCTGTGCACCAAGATGGAATATATTAAAACCTCTTTCTGTGTTTAAGAACTACACCTTAAAGGCATAAAAAGGGCATAGCTCCATACAATCAATCTTAGGACAGAAATAAATAAAAAAATTCATTCATGAAATCAGAAGTCTTCAGGGCTGTCAGGATATGAATACAGCACATTCCGGTTAACCGGGACAGCCGTTTATTTGGGACAAATCTTAAAGAACAAACCTTCTTAACTCTTTACGTGGAACTTCGCATAATTGGGGCAGCTGCTTAATTGGGCCAAAGTTTTCTAGTCCTGATGTGTCCCAATTAACCAGAATCCACTGTAGTGGTATTCTGAGCTGTAGTGACATGTGGTCTTTCATGTGGTAACCAACATTTCATAGAAATGCTAGTAACCACCTATAAGACCACATGGCATCAAAACCAAGAACCCCACAGTCAAAAACTTAACATTCATATCATCTTTCTGTCTGGGGAAAGGACAAAATGCTGGGCGCACCCACAGCGGTTCTGAAAATGATGAAGAGGAAAATAAGAAACTCTTTAACATGAAACAAACCCTCACTATCCATTACTAACTGAGCTACTATTATGGCACTACAAAATAAAAGAAATAAACTTCATATTTTTAAAATATAGGAAAACAGGCTGATAATCCATTCCAGGAGTAAACCAAATGTCAAAACACATTCATAATTTCATAAGTATTTCTGAACTGGAACAGTCCACAAGGCCTAATCCATAAAAGCTGATGAACAAATAAGGCAAACAGAATATTGGAGAATGACAGTAACAAATAAAAGTATTTCACAAAGATGTCAACAGTAGATTAAATTCAGAGCATGCCTGCTACACCTGAGGATTAAAATACAACTATAATTTTACCCAATTTTATATATGAGCCCTTGTACCCTGAACCCTCATATTATGAAGTAAAAGGAGAATGGAGATCAATACATAGCATGGAACTTCAAAATTTCTGCTCTTTGTAAGTATTATTATGGTGATCAAATGAAAAAGGATTAGATAAGTAAGACACGAAGTACATCATTAAAAATCCTAGTTAAAGAACATGAAGGGAAGAGTCACTTGGGAGACAAAGGCATAGAAGTAAGAATAGGTTTAAGTGGATCTTAAAGATACAAGATGTGAGTGTGCGGACTGGATTCCAATGACTGAGGACATAGTCCAGTACAGGTTCATGTGAACATGGTGACTGAAGATTTCATAACACATAATTTCTTTACCTCCTGAGAACTAACAAGGACTATACTATGGAGATAGTTTACTACCTGGCTCTCCTTTAGCTGCAAGATCCAGAGCTGTGGTCAGATCCCACATCTGAATGGCTCCATTACTGTGACCAGTGAATATGAATCTGCGAGGTCGAGATCCCATGCGACTGGAGCCCTCACATTCGTGAACACAGAATGAAGTGATGACAGTGCCATCAACAGCTTTTATTACACAAACCCTGCCAGGCAATGAAAGCTTCTTTATCACAGGGAAACAACAAATACAAAAAGTAAGAACAAGATATAATCATATATTCACTCGCTATGAAGATGTCTGCGTAATTAATGAATATTTGTGTATGTTTTGTAATACAACAACATCAATACAATAATATTTTTGATAATTTAATGCTGTGTCACTACAGTTAAATAATTCCTGAATGCATCAAAAGTACACTTAATAATATTTTCATAATATAATTTTATATTGAGGACCCTGAATGATTAAATGTGAAACTAGTCTTCCACCAACCACCAAGTCACATGGACTGTCAAATTTCTAACATCAGAAAGCAACCCAATTTGCTCATCCAAAGCCCTTCATGTCTTACAGACATTAAAAGCATCAACTGATATTACCTCTCACATAAGATATTCTATAAAATTAAGTTCTTAATCAATTAATAACAATCATACCTCTTTCCATTTGATGCAAGTCTTACGAAGAGTTGATCTGTTTCTGGTACGACTTTCTGAACAAAGACCTGCTCGTCATCCTGTTCACCAAAGGGACCTGTAAAATACGTTTATTATGAAAAGTGGTGTAACAATTAGCCACTTTCAATTTCTGATAAAGTTTTCAATAATTAGTTGAAAGCAGTGTTTCTCAAACTGTGAGACATGCCTCACTGATCAAAAGCAGGCTGGTGTAGCAGTAATGCTCCATTCTTGTATTCAGGATTTTTGATCTCAGCTAGGCTGTCCTGACTGGGTTATTTATGATTTTCCTTATTCTCTTTAGGCAAACACCATAAGAGTGACTTTAAAGAAGCTCTGACTGCCTCTTTCCAATCTGTATCTACTCACCCAACATAATCTTCCAACTAATATGTGCAATTAAAACATCATTGTTAAATAAATAACCTGAGAATCAATTATCACAACTCAATTATGAGGTACAGCAGACTTTTGTGTGAGGCAGGTTAAAGTCAGCTGAATGCAATTTTTGTGATGAGTAATCAGTAATCTGTAATTAACTGTGAATGAAATGTACTAACTCAAGCACTAAATATTACTTGTCATTAAATCTAAATTACATTCATGTTTATACCATTACACACATCTCTTATGGTTCAGCATAACCCTCCTTCACTTGTTTTCATAATATAATGCACTATTTTTTGAACTAGAGCAAAAAGCTGATTTTTGCATTTGTCATACTTTAAAAGGTAACAGTAAATGTATTCATAGGCATCACTGAAATCTGACTTGTTAGGCATCATAACAAACAAGCATTTAACCCAATAATGTTACCAGGAACGAAGTAAACAGAAGTTACTTCACCAATCCTAGACTTATGGCAACTATAGAAAATGTTTATAGAAGAAGAGTGTTCTGCATAACATAAAACGAAGACCTCATTAAGCTTTAAAATTTGTATTTGAAAAAATTTAATGTCATATAGTTAACGAAACACAAGGAAATACAATTTTTACTTTTCATAATATAATTTTATATTGAGGACCCTGAATGATTAAATGTGAAACTAGTCTTCCACCAACCACCAAGTCACATGGACTGTCAAATTTCTAACATCAGAAAGCAACCCAATTTGCTCATCCAAAGCCCTTCATGTCTTACAGACATTAAAAGCATCAACTGATATTACCTCTCACATAAGATATTCTATAAAATTAAGTTCTTAATCAATTAATAACAATCATACCTCTTTCCATTTGATGCAAGTCTTACGAAGAGTTGATCTGTTTCTGGTACGACTTTCTGAACAAAGACCTGCTCGTCATCCTGTTCACCAAAGGGACCTGTAAAATACGTTTATTATGAAAAGTGGTGTAACAATTAGCCACTTTCAATTTCTGATAAAGTTTTCAATAATTAGTTGAAAGCAGTGTTTCTCAAACTGTGAGACATGCCTCACTGATCAAAAGCAGGCTGGTGTAGCAGTAATGCTCCATTCTTGTATTCAGGATTTTTGATCTCAGCTAGGCTGTCCTGACTGGGTTATTTATGATTTTCCTTATTCTCTTTAGGCAAACACCATAAGAGTGACTTTAAAGAAGCTCTGACTGCCTCTTTCCAATCTGTATCTACTCACCCAACATAATCTTCCAACTAATATGTGCAATTAAAACATCATTGTTAAATAAATAACCTGAGAATCAATTATCACAACTCAATTATGAGGTACAGCAGACTTTTGTGTGAGGCAGGTTAAAGTCAGCTGAATGCAATTTTTGTGATGAGTAATCAGTAATCTGTAATTAACTGTGAATGAAATGTACTAACTCAAGCACTAAATATTACTTGTCATTAAATCTAAATTACATTCATGTTTATACCATTACACACATCTCTTATGGTTCAGCATAACCCTCCTTCACTTGTTTTCATAATATAATGCACTATTTTTTGAACTAGAGCAAAAAGCTGATTTTTGCATTTGTCATACTTTAAAAGGTAACAGTAAATGTATTCATAGGCATCACTGAAATCTGACTTGTTAGGCATCATAACAAACAAGCATTTAACCCAATAATGTTACCAGGAACGAAGTAAACAGAAGTTACTTCACCAATCCTAGACTTATGGCAACTATAGAAAATGTTTATAGAAGAAGAGTGTTCTGCATAACATAAAACGAAGACCTCATTAAGCTTTAAAATTTGTATTTGAAAAAATTTAATGTCATATAGTTAACGAAACACAAGGAAATACAATTTTTACTATACTTGGATACTTGGACGACCCGTTCTTCAAGTGCCTGAGCACTGCGGGTCCCAACTTTTTCGTTGGCTTGATCTATAGACATTCGGTAGGACTCCTTGGACAAGGGATCGGCCCGTCGCAAGGCCTCTACCTGTACACAGGACAGCACAACACAGAACGACGCGGACAAACATCCATGGCTTGAGTGGGATTCGAACCCACGGTCCCAGCGACAAAGCGGCACAAGGCCCACACCTCAGACCGCGCGGCCACTACAGACCCCAATTTTTACTATATGCATGGTGATTAGCTTTGGAACAATATCTGTAATAAATAAACACCAAGATCACATGTGCAAAATTTCAAAGAACACAGTTGGACATACGTATTCCAAACTGGAGTTACTTTTCCACTTCTGTTTAACAGGCTCCATATCATCTATCTTAATAATAGCTTTGATTATATGCTACATAAGTTAAAATTATGAATTATTAAACATGGACTTTAATTCTTCATTATGTATTCTACGTCACTCACCACTCAGAAACAAGAAACAAAAGAAACTGACCACAATCATTTCCTGCTGCATAACTGATATAAGGCTCCACCTCATCCAGAGAAACAATCTTGAAAGATGCAACGGGTGTGGAACCCGGCTGTGTTGAGATCATTCCTCGGAACCTAGTAACACTCCATGTGCGAACATGATTATATTCGCTGCATACAGATACAAGGAACTTCTCTGACAATGTCACCTGTGTAACAATTCAAAAAATTTACATTACTATTCTTCTACATTCTGGCTTTCACATTTCCATGACATAAAAATTATACTGAAACAAACTTACTTTCATAATGCATGGAAATATCTAATAACTATAAATATTCAGTAATACCCACACAACGCTGAAGTTCTCTGGCACAGACAATGCAATCACGGCTCACTGTAGACCAAAAATGGAAACCTGAACTTAGGCCAGTGGACATAAAGCTAAGGAACGCAATTTAGATAATACGCCAACTCTTGTGCAAATAACGTCCAGTGGTATTACATAAAGTATGGTTTTATAAAGTGTGACCTCTTATACCTTATAACAAACCATCGTCTTATGAATTGTATAATTTAATATGAATAAATTTGTTTGCCACTGGTGATGACCTCTTGAGGTCGAAACACGTTTTGGCAGTAAGTGTCTTTTCAGTGTACACAGTTTTGTTTGTATGCATGATTTTAGCTATAAATATGACATACACAACATCTAGCAGACAGTTACAACATTACGATTGAAAACACACAAAATAAATATATAACAATATAATACTGCTGGAGAGCACTAAGAAAATTATGTGAACAATACTTAAAGTTATGGTCCTGCTACTATTCTGTCACATAATGATTCTCCAATGGGATCCTGAAATATCAGTTCTTAGAATATTTAATTACACTTATTACACAACTGGAGAGATTCCATACGTTGAATGACATTGGAAGGCAATTATAGTGAAAGTCTTACTTAAAGTTTTGCTTGAGAGACAGAAGAACTACAAAGGACAGCCAGAAGCTGAGTCGAGATTAAATACGCTTATCTCCCAAATACAAGACAACAGAGTATTATTACTACTAAACCGTGGCAGATGGGGTTGTCTAATGACAGAATGGTGAACTACATGGTGTGAAACGTACTTACTTTGGTGACAGGGCTTTGATGAACAGTGAATGTTTGAAATAGTTGTGGACCATGACCCACTGTTTCAGGATGCTGCACAATAACACGGACTGTCCCTGAGCTGGTGCCATATGCTATTTCAATCCAGTTGCCACACAAACCTAACACAAATATAACACCTTTCCATACAGATTAACAACACAAATGCCACAGATTTCCTAATATTTTTTGTCACCAATATAAGAGGTGCTTCTAGTGCAGGTTCCAAAGTCAACTGGTTATAAATAAAACATGGTTTTAAATAACAACAGTATTCAGCTTATGTGAGGAACTGGTTGATAAAGTACAGATATTAAAAATATTATGAAATTGCTTATAAACAGTTTTCCACTTTCATAACAAGCACTGCAGTGCAATGAACTTAAAAGTTAACATATTACTTATAATTTTCAACATCAAATACCAAACAACTTCCATAAACCCTTCACCTTCAAATTTTTCAAGCACTGACATGCCCTCTGGACCACGCCCCCCTACCAATTATTTTAATCAGCTAAACCACTACCATTTTCTAGTTACTCTCTTGATTGTGTCTGAAGAAAGCAACTTACATTCTCTGAAGCGGTGCAAAAATTTAAACAATCAAGGAACATATAATGAGGGGGGGGGGGGGAAGAACAAAACATAACACACTGTAAATTAGAATATTCAGGGCTAGCCCAGTGGACATGCTAAATAGACACAAGTATATTCAGGATTAGTCTTGAAGGGGTTAACATTTAAATTTCAAATTTCCACAGATTTAAAGTAAGCCTAAATATTCAGACATATGCATCTAACTCATGGTCATGGTGTTTGTTGTTCCCACCACCACCACCACCACCACTACTACAACTATTACTACTACTACTGCCTGCTACTGCTGCTGCTCCCACTTCAAGATGCCTCCATACTCCAGTATTTTATAATATTTTGTTTACCTTCACATGGCAACATACTAGCCACATTTACTAAATCTGCAACAACATATGTGAACACAAATGTCACTTAACAAGTATTTTTTACATGAAATTCTAATATTTAAACACTGTTCATGTCAGTTCTTCATTTTTAATAATTTCCAAAACTCCTAGGAAACTAAAGGTATTTATACAACTGGAACCAAGAATTCATGATTCTTGGACTGGGTGACAATATTTTACTGTTTAAAAATTACTCATAAGAAGACAGAAATCTTCATACTCACCGCTGTGAAAACCTCAAATCTTACCCATAGGGGGTTTTCCCTTAACCTTTATTGTATTAAAATGAGAGATTTATAACCCTGTACTTCATAGCTGTTATTTGGACTTTGCCTTCAGGGGTTTAACATTTTAGCAGTAGGCTGCTGCAATAAATGTCTAGCTGGATAGTATTTAAGCTATGATGCATAGCCAGTAAAGGTTAATAAAATTCAACACACACGCTATGTACACGCAAGCTGTAACAATAGCATTAGCGTCTAGCGATGCAAACTTACCTTACTATGCCAGTAGACAAATTATACTTTCAAATACTTCACAAATGTTTCACCTCAAAGGAAATTCACCTTCTGAACTGTAGACAACACGTCTCTAAAAAATTTAACTCATAAATAATTTGTATTTCCAGTGTTTATCTCAAAATAAGTATAAAATTTGTATAAGAATTTGTAAATGTTGCCCAGGCATAATCATTAGTTATAGATACCACTAGTCACCCCTACATTGAAACTTGTAAATATGCCTACATGAAACAAAATTTGATACATGTATAAAATGTGCAGGTACTTTATACCACATTGAATCTATAATGGCCAATATAAAATGCAGACCAATATAGTATATAACATTTAAATACAGGATCCATCAATATATTACACACTACTTACAGATATGGTACTGAATTAACAATTCTCATTAACGGTTTGATAATTCATGGACAGCAGCCAAATGCACAATTAAGGTTTTGAACATCTAACCTTGGAATGTATGTGAAATGGTCCTGTCTTGTTTAAACTGTTTATTATATATTGCTATTATTATAATTCTGTAAGTTAATTCTTTCATAGTTACTTTATGCTGTCAGTCTCTGGGTCAAATTAACAAGTAGAAATAATACTGCCATACCTAGTACCAGTGTTAACCTCTGCTTCATCTAATGTAGCTGAACCACGCCTTCACGAAGGAAAATCTTCCTTGAAAAGTTTGTTCTAAGTCAATAAATACCCCACTTTCATGCAACCCAAAGGTTCAGTGAAAGTATGCCACTCAACCCTATCCTGAGCCAGTTCAATCCAGTCCAATAAATCACATGATATTTCTCTCTAACAAGGAGACCCAGTTGATTTTTAAATCTCCAATTCAGCTCTGGTTTTGCAGTATGGCACTGGACCGTTCTCCTGACTTCTTAGCCAAAATATTTGGTGTAGACACTCGAACATTTCTTTGTAACACACAATTTTATTTCCCACTTTTTTCACTGTTATTTTATAAGCCTCGCAGGAGAATCATTCATTCAGTTCACCGTCATAGCTCAGATGGTAGTAAGCCAGCTTCAGTTCCCAAGTCGCTTCCTTCCCTTTTTTAATCACTAGGTCTGTGTTTCTCTTCTTCTCAATGTGAATAAAGGAAAAGCAGAATATGAATAAAGGCAAAAATATCATAGCCTACGGTGTGACTGACCCAAGTTCAGTTCCCGAAGGTTTCTTTAATCACCAAGTCTATAATGGGTTCTGATCATAAAACGCAATTATTTTTGAAGATATCCGTCATCAGGGCGATGAATATTCATCGCCCTGATGACGGATATCTTCAAAAATAATTGCGTTTTATGATCAGAACCCATTATAGACTTGGTGATTAAAGAAACCTTCGGGAACTGAACTTGGGTCAGTCACACCGTAGGCTATGATGCACCAAATGCTACTAACTTAGCTATGACAGTGAGGTGAATAAATATATCACTACAGAGCTTATGAAGTATCAGTAATGAAATTGGAAAATAAAATTGTTTTTTACAAAGAAACAATGGAATGTCTACACTTAATATTTTGGCCAAGAAGTCAGAAGAGGGCTGCTCCCATACTGCAAAACCAGAGCTGAATCGGAGGGTATCAATCAACTTGGTCTCCTTGTAAGATACAGTTTAATAATATTATCATCACATCTATGCCTAATTCTCCCATGTGGTTTCTTCCCTTGGGCTTTTGTTAACAGAGTCAAATGAATTGTCTCCTGCCACACTTTATGCATAAAACATAATGTATAAAAGATATTTACGTAACTGATCAGACAGTGCAAAAGGTAACTGGGTAACATAGTGCTCTTCCATAGAACCCCATGCACAAAGAAGCGAGTCCCCAATCTTGTTTCCAAATAACTTCAAAAACTGAAACAGAATTTACAATCCTGAACAATAACAGCAATTTTAATGTTTCTCTACTCATAATTTCCAAGTCATGAAGGGACTAAATATAAATAAATATATATATATATATATATATACACACACACACACACACACACACACACAGGTAGCCCTCGATTTGCGCCGATTTTGAAACCAGCAAGTCAAAAAGTGAAACAAAATATATTTTACTATTGTTTATAACGTTTTACAATGTTTCTCATACTGATTCTTATACTAAATCGTAATTCTTACATCGCTGATTTTGAATAAAAATTACAAATGCAGTCATCTCTGCAATTACGTATGTTTCGTTAACGTGAATTTGCTCCAATGAGATCGCTGAATCGGTAAAAGTTGTGAAATGCAAACTTTTGCATATGCGAGTTTGCTCTTATGCAATTTCATTCCTGGCTTTTTAAACCTTCAAAGAACTAATTTAATCTCTGCTGAGGTACCGGGTTATTTTTACTATGCGATTTTCTATAGGTCGGCGTCTTACAAGAATGCAACTATCGCATAACAGCAGAGATGACTGTACACATCAATCACATAAAAGAATCGCAGCCAATCGCTGTGACCAACGAATTGCTGATTGTAAGTGTATAAAATATATTTTTTAAATTCCCTTTATTTTATTTACGTTATTTCAGAGCTTTAAATGTAATGCCATTATATTACTCATCAATGTTTGGGTGCTGGGAACGCATGTCATTGACTTCCAATTGATTTACATTATAAAAGAGTTTCAATTTATGCTGATTCCGTTTACACTGGATCGTCCAGGAACACATCTCCAGCATAAATCGAGGGCTACCTGTATATATGAGTGGGAACTCTAATGGCATCAATTCTTGTACCGCACTGTCACTGAGAACAAAAGCTGAGCGAGTGCATTATTTTAAGCCTGTAGACAAGAGACAGACAACGGTATACCGCCACAAAAGTTTTAAAGCACCAAGGAAGTTAAAAACTGCACCTTTGACTAGCAATGTCATGCTCAATGCTTTCTGCAATTTTAATGGTTTAGAGCATTCACAATTCATGCCCACTTGTACCACAATTAACTTCAAGCACTATGCTGCAAAAGTGAAAAAACTGAACTTATATAAAGAATTAGTCTTGACGTGCAGTAAGTTTTCTTCCGACATGCCAACATGAGGCCTCTCACAAGCTCATGGAAGACGACAGAGATTCATCACCTTGGTTTCACTGTCTTGAACCAACCACCATACAGCTTGAACATGACAGAATCTGACTTTTATCTCTTCTCTAAACTAAACGAACATCTGAGATGACATCACTTCTTGCCAGACAATGAAGTCAAGACAATAGTCAGGGTATGGTTACCTCAACAAGATGAACAGCTCTATCATGAGAGACTAAAACTACCTAATATTTGGCAGAAGTGAGTGGACCGCAGAGGTAATTATGTTGAAAATAAATGGTGAAAAACTACAGAATAAAGCTCAAGAAGTTGTCTACTTTTATTTTAATGAAATGTCTATTCCAATACGGGAAATTTTTTTTGGAGCATGCCTTCATACATAATTGGTGAGAGAACATACTATGTATAAAAAATGCAGCACAAAAGGAATTTTAAATCAGACTAGTTATCAAACAGCAACTGATCTTCAGAATACAGGAAAATCACACTAAAATTCTTAGCAGTTTCAAAGAAAATAATTACCATTCTGTATTTAAATTGTATAGATTAGGTAAATATGAGAACATGCAGAATTGATATCAACAAAAATTTCAGAATCTGAAAATTCCACGACTATTTCTTCTCAATATTTTCCCATTTCGCAGTTTGCTGCCTTGTGTGTGGTCCCAGTCCTGTTACCAATCGGCCAAGGCACATCAATGGAGGTCGATCTTAAGTCCAAACAGAGGACACCAGGTACCAGGGTGTCATAAGCTGTGGCATCCCCGGACACAGCATCTGCTGTCTTATTGCTGCTGAAACCTCCATGGCCTGGTGTCCACTGTTACATTAAATTCCCATTCTGAGATTGGGTGACAGGTTGTGAATAGCTCCAAAAATTGTCGGCAACATGTGATCAGGACTACAGGCACTCAGGAGTCCATATATAGTAGAAACTTCCCTGGCAGAAGGTTACACATAGCATC